GTATCATAAGTCAAAGTCAGATTCCCTCTGCTGTGACACAGGAAGTCAGATACTTCTCTATCTACTTCAGACCATGTAGGAGTTGGTGCTGGGTACCATCCTCATCCCAGCCACCCCTACCCGCTGACTTTTTTTTTTTACTATGTACCCCTTACTATGAGGGTATCAGGCATTTACTGGTCTCACTGGTGCCTTGTTCTGACTGTGCTCAGGATGACTAACTGAACCACATCTCCCCTGGGGTGACCTCCAGGTGAAGGAACAACTTTTCCCTGCCAAAGGTGATTTCCCTCATAGATGCCCTTCTAATTGGTTGGGCCTGCCCAAACACCTGGCTGCTTTGGACAGGTTCTTGGCCTCCCCAGTTTCATGGTGTTTCCCTTCCCTCCTCCTGGCCTCCAGCCAGCAATCTGTTTCCGAACTCATCAGCTCTGCTCTGTGCTCCTCACCGAATCATTGCCCTCAAAGCACATGTTCAGATTCGGAGTACTTTTGTCTCCAGCGGAAAAGACACTTCATGGAGATAGAACATTGAGGAAGGAGGGCAGTCTGGGCACCTTCTGTCATGGATCCAACTCAATTCAATTCCACAGGCACTTATTAAGCACCTACTATGTGACTGGCACATAGTGCCACCCAGGTGCCAGGGATACAAAGATAAGAATGAAATGGAGCTTATGTTCCACTGGGCTAACTCAACTCAAGGCCTGAAAGAGATGAGGTAATGAACTTCCTGACAAACCCAGGGAAATTAGAGAGCATTTGCAAGAGAAGGAATGGGACTGAGTCAAAAAATACCCTCTGGCCATGGACCACGGACCGCCACAGACCGCCACAGACCACCACAGACCACCACGTTCTGGTCAACACAAAAACCATGAGTTTGAGAAGGCCTGGGGCTAATCATTAAGAAGCCCTGAAGCTTCTTTCTCGTCTTGCCTGTGGTCCACAGGGCCCCGCCCGAGCAGCATAGGCACCAACTTTGGTCTGGGAGGACCATGACTTCTCCACTCTCAGTCCAGGTCCCTGTCCTCAAGGGAGGGGGACTCAATCATCTCAGGGAGGTGACCTGGGGGTAGCCTAGGGGAGCCCCTACTTCCTAGAATAACAGATGGCAACAACATTCTCACCTTCATTTCAGGCCCCTAAAGCTGCCCCTTTCTTTCACAGGCCAGAAATGGAGTCAGATTTGTACATTTAATCAGGTCAAGTACAAATGGGAGAGACAAACCTGGCTTAGCGGGTGCCACGGACAAGGGGGTTGGGAGTTTGGCTCCTCCTGCATCACCCCTGAATGACCACTTCTCCATTTTAGCCCAGGCTAAATGCCCTAAGATGAGGGAGCCGGGAGTCAGGAAGAATTGGGTATCTAGATTTAGAGCTGGCAAGGACTGCAGAGATCCCCTAGCCCACCTCCACACCCACTCCCATTTGACAATTCAGGAAACTGTCCCGAGACGGCTCTGCATGTTCTGAGTGGGGGCTTATCTCCCTCTTGAAGGAGATGAAGGAATTAGGAAAACTTGTTCGCGGTCCAGGTTGTTAGCAAGAGTGAAAGACTCCTAAAGGAAATGGATATGAGGGTTCAATGGGAAAAGAAGTGTCCAAGGTGGAGGATGAGGGTGATGGCGCGCTACACACAATGAAGAGTGCCACACAGAGGCCAAAGAGGAGAAAAGACACCTACACCAGGAGAGCTTCAAAACAGATCTGCCGGTCTTCCTGAAGAGGAGGGAGCCAGGTGATCTGAGGAAGAAGGAGCTGCTCATCCTCCCAAAAATGCTATAATAGAGCCTCAGAAACCACTGGGACAGAGATCACCCTGAAAGGGGCAAAGGAAGAAGAAAAGAGCAATAAGAGTGGGTGACTCAGCACCCTGCTGCTCCAGGTGCTGAGGCAGCTGTTTGGTGACTTGATAACAATAATGGAAAGGCATGGATCCAAGACATGACAAAAAAGCTCCCAAGACTTCACAAGCTGGATGACAACTACCCACTTGAGGTGATCCATGTGGACACAAATGACTGCCAGAAAGAATCAAAAAAAGCATTACCAGTGATTATGACATTTTGGGCATGAAACTGGAGACCACCAGGATATAGACTGTGTTTTCTTTGTCCATCGAAGGCAAGGGATATCAAAAGAGAAAAATTAATTGGGGAAGTGAACAGCTGGCTAAAAAGGTAGTATCTGAGAATTGGCTTTAGATTTATGAGTCATGGCTCATAATAAAGAGCTGACAGATGCCTGGCCAGGGATAAAGTACACCTTTCAGAGGCTGGTAAGACTATCTTTCAGGGGTCTTGCAAGTCTAATTGAAGAGGTTTTAAACTAAAAATAATGAGAGAGGGAGAAGCCTGCCTGTATATATCTCCAAAGTCAGATACTATAGAGAGTAGTCACAAAGAAGGAAGACTAATAATTCAGACACCCACAAATTCATGGGAGCTAAAACCCAAGAACTGAACCTATGTCCCTAAGTGTTTATACACAGATGCCCAAAGTTTATTCACCAAATAAAAGGAACCAGAGCTCCTGATGCAGGGGAGGATATTTTACCTCCTAGGGATCCCCTGAGACTTGGTGGAATGAAACCTATGGTTAAACTATGGCTCTAGATGGGTGTGCCTTATTCAAAAGAAACAGGCTAGGAAAAAGGCGGTGGAGTAGTACTATAAATCAAGAAGGTACACTTGTGTGAGGAAATCCAAGAATGAGAGGGTAGAGTATTTGGGTGAATGTCAAAGCAGGGATAAACAGAAGTGATTGTGTCATTGGAGTATACTACAGACCACCAGGGCAGAAAGAGGAAATCGATGAAGGAAACAGATGAGACTGGCACAGACATATGGCGTAGTAGTGAGTAGTGAGGGGGGGGCTTAAATTATCCAGACATCTGCTAGAGCTCTCTCTCTGCCAAAAGCAGAGTAGCTCATAATTTTTTGACTTGCCTGAGGGATAATTTTGTCCTGCAAAAAGTGGAGGAACCCACAAAGGGAAATTCTATTCTGGATCTGATCCTCACAAACAGGGAAGAACTGGGGGCAGGGGTGGAAATGATGGGAACCCTGGGAAGGAGTTGATCTCCAACATAAGTCCCCTCAAGTACTGGAAGAACTGGCAGCTGTGGGCAAAGCCACAGTCCATCGCATGTGAAAGAGGCTGGGGAGTGGCAGACGGGATCTGGATTTTCACCAAAGGGAAGAGAACAGAGTCTGCAAACAAGAGGCCAATGATTCTTGGGGAAAAGCTCAAAAGGATAATTACAGAGATAGTTGATGAACATCTAGAAAAGGAAGCTGTGATTGCCAAGAGCCGGCTAGGGGAGGCTGACCTTTGGCCTTTTTGTACCAGGTTACAAAGTACTAGTAGATGAGGGGAATGCTATGGAGAGAGTTTACCTACGTTTGAGCAAAGCTTTGGAGAAAAGCTCCTCATACAAATCTTGTGGAAAAGAGACAGAGATATGGATCCTTAGACAATAATGTTGTATTCAGAACTGGTTTGCATGACCTGATTTAGAGTAGTTGGTAATGGCTGTCAATGGGCCAGTGGGTCTCCAGTGGAGTGCCCCAGGGATCTGTGCTTAGCTCTAAGCTGTTTCACATTTTTGGTCATTGACTTGGATAAAGTCATTGACGATATACTCATTGAGTAGGCGACTCAGAGGTGGGAGGGAGTGGTAACCCATTGGAGTGGAGTGAGTCGGGATCCACAATGTTCTTGCCAGGTCAGAACTCTGGGCTGAATCTTAATAAAATTAAATTCAGCAGTTTAAGCATCAAGTCTTGTACCTGGGGTGAGAAGGATGCATCCCACAAGTATAAGAAGGGCATGGTATGAACAGACAGTAGTTGTTTTGAAAAGGATTTGGGGGTTTTAGTGGACCACAAACTTCATATAAGTCAGCAATGTGTGATGTGGTGGTTAAGAAATTTAATAAGAGCTTGAGACAGCCAGGGGGTGCTACAGTACACAGAATGCTGGGCCTAGAATCAGGAAGACGAGTTCAAATCCTGCCTCAGACACTTCTTAGCTGTGTGACCCTGGGCAAGTCACCTCACATCTGTCTGCCTCAGTTTCCTCACCTATAAAATGGGGATAAAAACAGCACCTACCTCACAGGGTTGTTGTGAGGATCAAATGGGATCATATTTCCCACAGTGGAATGGGCTGCCTCTAGAAGTAGGTAGTGGGCTCCCCCTTCTTGGAGGTCTTCAAACAGAGGCCAGTTGACTACTTGTGGGCTATGCTAGAGTGGTGATTCCTTTCAGGTGTGAGTTGGACTAGATGACTGCTCAAATTCTGTGATTCAGGGAGGGGTGATGTGACCTGCCCTCTGCCCCAAAGGTGTCCCAAATGACAGAGCCAGGATTTGAATCCAGATCCTTTGAAACCAAATCCGTGCTTTTCCCAAAGTGACACAGTGGCTGAGGACAGGAGTGGACATTAGTACATGTAATCACTGGCCCTGTAGAGCCTTGGGTGGAGGGGACCCAAACAAGCTGTTATGACCCAGAGTGACTCCCATAGATGCCCTGGGGCAGGATTCTTCGGGGCAAGTCACTTAGACTTGAGCCTTGATTCTTCTTCTGTGTGATGGATAGTACCAATACCTGTCAAATATGGTTGTTAGGAGCCTCAGAAGCCCGTGCTGTGGCTAAAGCATTTCCCAAAAGTTGAAGACTGATGTAGACATCAGTTTTCCTTATCAACAGACAAGATAGGGTCCATCCTGCCCCAGTGAATGTCTCATATGCCTAATGAGCCATAAGGATGGATGAGATGATCTCCAAGGGCCTTTCCAGATCAAAATCTAGGATTACTATGACTGGGGTGAGGAAGAGGAGGGCAGGGGATGCTTCCAGACCTCTGGGTTTAGCCTGCTCACTAGGCCATCCAGCCTCTCCCATCCAATAACTGTATACCTCATGGGCATGCAGTGGGGGAAGGCAGGTGCTGTGGCTCCCTTAGGGCTCTTGACAAGGGCAGGCACCTACCTGCTTCCCATCCAGAGTGTACAGCTTTTTGACCACTCCTGTCTCCAGTTTGATGGCTTCAGTGATATCAGTGAGCACTTGCTCAAAGGAGTGGGCAGTCTTCTTGTTCAAGAGCACCCGCACGGCTTTGCGGGGCTTCACTCCACTGCGGATGATGGTCACCAGCTTAGGCCGAACAAAGTCCTTATTCTCCCTGGCCTGGGCACTGTGGCTGCTGGCCAGGGACTGGGGAGCTTTCAGATTGGCTGAGGTCTTCACGTTGACTGACCAGTTGGGGTTGGCATTCTTGGCGTACTCCACCTTCTTGAAGAAATTGTCTGAGGAGCACACGTAGCTTTCACCTAGAAGGAAAACCAGGAGGTCAAGAAAAGCCAGAGACGCCAACAAATGTGTGTTCGAACCTTGCAGAGCCCAAGCTGACTGGCCTAAAAAGCACACCATAGCGTAGTTTGGCCCTAAGAGCAAGTCCATTGGTGGAGATCTTACTTACTGGTCAAAAGTCACCAGCCAAATGTAGTTCAAGTGGGGCAAAAAACCATGGCCCGGGAGTGATAGGAGAGAGGGGGAGGGAGGGATGGAGGGAGTGAAGGAAGAAGGAATGAAGTCGAGGAAGGAGAGGGATGGATGGAGGGAGATAAAGAAGCAGGGATGGAAGGAATAAAGGAAGGAGGAGATGAGGGAAGGATGAAGGGAGGGAGATAAAGAACCAGGGACAGAAGGGAGAAGTGAGAGCAAAGAGATTAGGAGGGAAGGAAGGGATGAAGAGAGGGAGGGAAGAAGGCACCCCACCCACCACCACCAGAAGTTGGGCTTTGGGCTCCAAAGACAAAAGGAAAGAGTCCCTCCCTTCCAGGGGCTTCCATTCCCCAGGATGATGCTAAGATCTCACCCCACGGCCATGTGACTTAGCACACATAGACCCAGTTAGACTCTGCCCTAAGAAATTTCCTGTAGATACGACCAATGATAAGAACAAAGGGCATTTAGAGAGTGCCCTTTACTTCCACTCATTATCTCACTGGATTGGCCCAAAGCTTTGGCCCTGAACCAGATGGCATCTTCAAAGACCAGAAATAGGCCTCTCCTTGTCTGTTAACACCAAACCATCTGGATTTAGCTCAAAGTCATTGGCATAGATGCCACCCCTTAAAATCCAAGGAGACAAGGCCACTCCATTGGTGACCTGATTATTCCGAAGTCTCACAGAGGCCTGGCCCAGGCCCTTTGTGTGAGGCATAGTAGGAGGACCCCGCATTTAGAGGCAGAGGAGCTGGATTTGAATGCTGGATCTGGGACTGTGGGACCTCTGGAGTCTTCTTGCGTAATTAATGGGGGGGAGGTTGGACCAGGTGAGCACTATCCTCTGGTACTTTAATCCTTTATATTCTTTCCTCATTTCTGCTCCCTTTCAAGGTCTCTATGGCATATATTGACAGCACTTTGGGGGAGCCTGCCTGCTACCTAGTAAGGTGGAAATGGAATGCCGCTGATTTAGCGGTTGCTTTGGGAGGGGCCCTTGGTGCTGGCCTGTACACAGGGAGAGAGCCCCCCAGGTCTCAGCACCCTACACCCACTCCACAAATGGCGCCGACTACTTTTAGTGGGGCTGGGCAAAACCAGGCAGGAGGCCAAGCTTGTCTTGGGCACTTGCCCCAACTTGGGCTGTTTCTCCTTCCCCTCTTGGCCCAGCCCTTGGAAAGAATGCAACGCCCCTCCCTGGGGGAGTCTTTAGGAGGTGTTCTGCCAGAGGGGGCTACAGGAAGGAAGCCTTAGTCTTGGCTCAGGCTGGGGGAGTGGCTAATCTGGACCAAAATGGGCCCCCCCAGTGTGAGCTCCCTGTGCAGGCATGGCCTTAGGAAGCAGCTACACCTTTCCACAGCTGTTTCCCATCCGGCCACAGCTGGCAGGGAATGGGCCCCTGGGGAGAAGGTTGTTAAGTAGAGCCCCAAAGTTAACCAGGAGAGAGGAAGCTCAGTCATGAGATGGCAGTGGGAGGGGGTAAGAAGGGGTAGGGTCTGGCCAGGGGCCGTTTTCAGGCCAACCTGCCTTTACCTCTGGGCTAAGTTCATCTCACAAGCTGGACAGTGTCTGAAGGAGGGTGACCAGATGAGGACACATGAGGATTGGTTGAAAGCACTGGAGATGCTTAACCTGGACAAAAGATGTGGTATGTGTGTGTGTGTGTGTGTGTGTGTGTGTGTGTGTGTGTGTGTGTGT